ACAGCTGGGGCTACAGGGAGACCCTGTCTCAAAAAGACAAAAAAAAAAAAGTGAAGGAATACATTCTTCTCATGTTCCAGATCAGAAAGGGGAAAGCCTTAAGCTTTCTCAAAGTCAGTATAATTGTTAGTTATTGGCTTATTATAAATACCCTTGTCTTCTAGTTTGCTTTCAGTTGCCATGACAAAACACTCTGACCAATACCAACTTGGGGAGGAAAGGGTTTGTTTGGCTTATTTTAAATCTTGGGTCACAGTTCATCACTGAGGGAGCCCAAGGTAGGAACTCAGGGCAGGAACCTGGAGGCAGGAACTGAAGCACAGGCCATGGAGGAAAGCTGCTTACCGGCTTGCTCCCCTGACCCATGCTCAACCTGCTTTGTTATATAACAGGCCCACCTGCCTAGGGGTGGCACCACCCACAGTGGGTTGTGCCCTCCCATATCACTCAATAATTGAGAAAATGCCCCCACAGACATGGCTACAGGCCAGCCTAATGGAGACAATTTCCCAACTGAGGCTCCCTCAACCCAGATGTGTCAAGCTGACAACTAGAGCTATCCAGCACACCTTGGTTATGTGGAGATACATTCTTTCTGTGCCTCATCTGCTCCACATTTATCATGAAGAAATGTTGAATTTTATCAAATTTCTTTTTGTTATCAATTAAAATTACCATATTTCTTCCTTCATCTATTTATATAGCGTGTCCTAGTTACTTTCTATTGCTGTGATAAAAGCAATGACCAAACAGACTAGGAAAGGAAAGGTTTATTTTCTCTTACATCTCCCAGGACACAGCTCATTGCCAAGGGAAGTCAGGGCAGGACCCACATACCATGGAGGAATGCTGCTTACTGGCCTGTTCCCCTGCTCTGTACCCAGGATCACCTGCCCTGTGGTACTACTTACGGTGGGATGAGCCCTCCCATGTCACTCAACAGTCAAGAAAATCCCCCACAGGCATAGCCACAAGCCAGCCCAATTGAGGAAATTCCTTAAGTGAGGTTCCCTCTTCCCAGGTGTGTCAAGGTGACAACTGAAGTTATCTAGCACACGGTCTATTGTATTTATTAATTTTGCTTATATTTAACCATTCTGACAACTCTTCAACTTGGTGCTATTTTCTTGATAATGTTTTATTGTATGTTCATCAAGAATTCTAGCCTATAGTTTTCTTTTTTGTTGTTAGTTTCCTTATCGGGTGAATTAGTTACTTTGCTGTTGCTGTGATAAGGCACTATGACCAAGAGAACTTACAGAAGGAAGAGTTTATTTGAGCTGTTGGATCCAGAGGAATCAGAGTCCATCACAGCAGGGAGGCATGGTGGCAGGAGTTGGCCAGAACAGAAAAGGAGCACTCACATTTTCAAGCAGGTGCAGAAAGCAGAGAGCAACTGGGTACTGGAAATATGGCAAGGCTTAAGAACTCTCAAAGTCTGCCCCCAGTGACACACCTCCTCCAGCAAGGCCACACCTTCAAGACCTCCCAAAACAGTGCCACCAACTGGGGGAAAATGTCCATGTAACAGCGCTATGGAGGGGGCATTCTCATTCAAACCACCACATCTGGTTTGAGCATAAGGGTAACGTTGGCATTGTAGAGAGTGTTTAGAAGAATTCTTTCCCCTTTTAGTGTTTGGAATAGCTTAAGAAAAAAATGGTATTGGGTGTTCTTTAAATATTTGGTAGAACTTAGCAGTGAAGCCATCTCATCACGGGCTTTTTCTTACTGATTCACTCTTATTGTTATTAGTGTGTCCTTTTTAAATTAGTTCTTTGATAACTGCATACAGTGTTTTTTTTTTTTTATCACATTCACCACCCTCCCCAACTGCTCTCAGGTCTACCCACCAATCCCTATCCTACTTTCCATGCTGGAATATTTGTGTTTTTCTCTTTTATTTGAAAAATTATCATTTTGCTCTATTCCTCCCCACACTTTGAAACCTTTTTTCCATTTCTTGTTTTGTTTTGTTTTGCTTTGTTGAGAAAGGGTGTCCCTGTGCCCCAGCTGGCCTGAAATCTGCTGTATAAACTAGGCTGGCCTCAATCTCGCAAAAATAGACTTGTCTGTCTCCTGAGTGCTGGGATTAAAGACATGTACCACACACCTGACTCACTTTGAATTTTTGCTATATCAATTTACATCTTTCTGTATTGCCTATTCTTTACCATATCAATGTAGTTATTTCAATTAACTTGTTTTTAATTTTTATATTAAATATGTGAATCTTTGCATAACATATTCACAATATTAGAGCATTTAGGTTTGTTTGCATAAGTAATCTGAACAATCAGTTTTCTGCCTGCCATGTTTTTGTCTTACTCATGAGCATTGCTTTCTTTCAGTTTGGAAATTTTCCTTTAGAATTTATTTTTTAAAGTATTTTTATTCATTCTCTCAGCATTTCATACAGTATTTTTAACATATTTACCTGTCTTCTCCAACTCCTCCTAGGTCTACCCCTGGTCCCAAATCCCTATCCTACTCTCCATCTGGGGTGTTGTGCTGTATTCCACCTTTCCTTCCTTCTTCAGTGCTCCTTACATACACTAAAAGCAAACACTCTGCCCCTGCTTGATTTCTTCAACTCTCCTGAGAGTAGTTTGACACATGAATACCTGATCGACTTAGTGTGTCTATGGGGAGAAATGGATAGATCTTAGCCACCAGCTTGCTCAGTCGTGTCTTCAATGTTATCGACAGCATCATGATTTTTAGAAAAGAATGGACCATGCCAAAGACCAGGCCCTTTTAAATTATTTGCCTTATATTTTACAAGTTCACTTTCTTAAAGTATCATGTCACTTCTAAGCCATCAGTAATGCAAATGTCATATTTCAAAGTCACCTCTGGTTATATAATTGTAAAAATATAAAATGTGTAATCACATTCTCATTGTAAAATAAGAAATTTAATTTTTAAAGATTTTGTTTTTATGTTTTATGTGTATTCGTGTGGTGTCCAAGGATACACACATGCATGTGGGTGCCCTCGAAGGCCAAAGGAAGTGTTGGAACCCCTGGAGTTGGAGTTATAGGCAGTTGTGAGTCACTCAATATGAGTACTGGGGATCAAATTTGAGTCCTCTGCAAGAGCAGCAAGGACTCTTAACCACTGCGCCATCTCCTCAGCCCCAAGCAATTTGATTTTTTTTTTTTACAAAAAGCTTTCTTTTATCACCCCCACCAAACAAAAATGTCTGACTCAAATCATTAAAAAAATTTTATAATGCAACCTCAACACCTAAGGCCCAGGCAACATTGTGGAACAGAGGGCAGAAAAAATATTAATGAATTTCTCAACTCTCACCAGTGAAGCTACCCCATGTAACAGGTGGTTATTAACTCAAAAAGTCACAACTGACCAAAGTGCAGAGAATAAGAGATTGCAGAGTACTTATCCATGAATAGGACACTTATATCAAACCTCTGCCACCCAGGGCTCAGGGACCATTGTGCAAGAAGGGGCAGAAAGACAGTAGGAGCCAGCCGTGGTTGTTGACCTCAAGGAAACAGAGTTTTCCACAAAGCAGAGAAGCTACTCATATAAATTCAACTCACAGCAATGGTAACAGCACACATGACCCACACAAGCTGAAGTCAGACAAAATCCCAGCACAGATATGAGGAACTGGGTTCAAAGTTCCAATTGTAGCTGACAAACAACTGGCAACCAATAACTAGACACGTTAACCAGCCTCCAGTGGATGGATGTACACTGAAGGACATTGATTTGATAGGCCTTAATATGTATGACAGTACGGGGTGCTATAAGAAGGGTTCAGCTAGGGGAGGGGGGTCTAAATAAGATCAAAATATACTGTTTGAAATTCACTAAAATTCAATAAAAAAGAGGAGCAAAAAAGAGTTCAAGTAAAACTTTGGGAACAAATTTCCCAGGGCCCAGCAGAGAGTAGCACTATAATAAGGAAATACACTTCTCTCCAAGATTCCTGGGCTGCTGGTGACGATGAGATACGAAAACAATATTACATAGTTAAATCAGAAATCAAAGCAAACATAATCTCCTTTTCCTTTAAACCACAGCTGTAGCTTCAAAGGGACTAAGAAACAGTTTATGCTGAAGCTAAATATGAATGACCATAACCCAGGAACATGGATTTGGGTTACCCCAATTTCACATTCCAATGTGGCGATAGCTTCACAAAGCCTTTAGATAACCTAACAAAGAAAATTATAAATCAAGGCATTTTTTTTTTTTTCAAACACATTGGTGGAAACATCAGGTAGATTGGCTACAACAAAGTGTGGAAATTTCTGCTATGGCTTCAAATGTTATCTGATGATATTCTTAGCCTCTGGGTTGGTGGAAGCTAGGGGTCTGTTTAACCATTCCAAAAAAGATTCACCTAACAAAGATGGGAGGTCACACACAGAGGTAGGCAATAGGTGGCTGTTTAGAGGGCCAATAAGATACACTTGGCTTCCATTTGCAGCGTTCCAGTCCTCCACATCAGTCCATCAGCTTTGTAGAATGTTTAGCTCAGGTGTGGCTTTTCCTCAGGCACCTCAGGTCACATCTGTAATATATAGAAAGCGACAAAGGTATGATCTATAGTCTGAAAAGGCTAAACTTACAGTTCAGGGGTTGTGGCACCCATTTGTGTTTTGGGGGGGTATATTTTTGGCCTGTTTTTGTACATTCCTGTGGTAGTAAATATCCAATAATTTGATAAGTGCTTGAATAATTCATGGATAAGTACATGGGTGGATAATTAGAACGAAAGATTGTGATCTGTGGAGTTCATGCACTGTTAGAACATTCTGTGCAAACATCCCTGTTCTGAAAGCAGTGAGTTCGCTGATGGGCGATAGATCAGGCTACTTGGCAGGAATATTGCAGAGAAAATCCAGGCATCATCACAACGCTGAATAAAGGGTGAGATTTCTTCTAAATTTAAAAACATAGATTCTAGGAATACTGATCCGGGGAAGCTAGAAATTGTTCTGATTTTCCAGCTGATCGGCTCTGGGGCTGTGAGGAGCTCTAAAAATTTCCAGCTTGTACTGAGGATCCCAAGCCAAGGCTTCTCCGTGCCTGCAGGCATCTGCTTCCTGGTACCTGCCCTGGAAAGTTCAAGGTGCACCAAGGTATGAACGTTATAGCTGGAAGCACTTACCTAAGAAGTTGTTGGGTTAGTTTCAAGCTATTTGTAATCCAAAAGTTAGATGTTAACTTTTCACATAAAGAAAGGTAAACACTTAGTAGGTGTGGCTTAGAGGTGCCAACCAAAACCCAGAGAGTGCTTTGCAACAGGGAGAGAGTTTCTATTATGCTGCTTTGTATAACTGGGCTAATTAGGCAGGAGGCGGAGCTACAGCTACCGGGCACTGAACACTGCTTTCTCTTGGATCAGCAGACACTTCATTGGCCCCCACGGCCCTTGTATGTCAACAATGTGGCTGAGTGCTCTGGTCTGGATTTGTCTTGCTGTTTGCACAGCTTGGGGTAAGTTCTTCATGAATACAAACCTCCGGTGACATTTAGGAATCAGTCCTGGATGAAGGCGAGTGATGATGTGTGCAGGGCAAAGACACACTATTCCAGTTCTTCAGTGGTGTTTGCCCTCTCTGTGCTAGAGCTTGGAGCAGCCAAGCCCAGTCAGCCTCAGCAGCCTTGAGACCCTGACTGCAAGTAACTGATGCAAGAGGGCAAGGAGACAACCTCCTGCCTCAGCATGAGGACTGAAGAGAGCTCAGTTTGTCTACCTGTGATTCTTAGTCCAGCTTTGTGCAGCTCATAGAGAAAGGCTGAGCAGATATTAAAAGCATGTCAGGAGGCAGAATGCAGGGCTGACACCCAGCTCTACAATTCTGAGCTGTGTCCTTGGACAAGAACTTAATTTTGTGGTGCTTAGGTGTGGGGGTGTGTGTGTGTGTGTGTGTGTGTGTGTGTGTGTGTGTGTGTGTGTGTGTTGTATATGTGTGTGGTATATACATGTGCATAAGAATGTACATGGACACATGCACATGCAGAGGCCCCAGGAAGATGTCAGATATCCTGCTTTATCACCCCCTGTCTTACTCCCTTGACACAGGGTCTCTCCTTAAACTTGGGGCTCACCTCAGTGAGCTCCCGAAATCTGCCTGTCTCCAGCCCCCAGTGCTGGGTTACAGGTGTACATACTCATTCCCAGCCTTCACATGGGCCCTGAGGCTCTCATGCTTATTCAGTTAGTGCTCTTACTCACTGAGCCAACTCCCCAGGCCTGGGTGGCTGTTTCTACAACATTTAGGATAGTCCCTGATCTACAGGAGGTATAGAAAAGGGATAGGAGAAGGGATCAACTGAAAATAAAATATACTGACATAAAAGTTGACCTAGAATAAAATCAAAGTAGCATCCATTGTACTTTGAAAAGAGGATTTGTTTTTCGTAGTTCCCAAGAAGAAGGGACACAGCACTGAGGTATGTCACAGGAGAAGCCCTGGGGTCAGTCAGGAGAGGATGTGGAGTCAAGGACTGTTGCTATGACTTCTTCTAAAAAGAAGAGAGGAAGGCAGGGTAAGTTGGGATAAGATTGGTTACGTAGAGTTATTTGGAGGCCATTGGGGACACAGGGTGTTCCTAGTTTTCTGTTGTCTTGCTCTGGTTGATCAAAATAGGTGTGGATAGCCTAGGCTACAAAACCCAGATAAAGCAGAGTGGCTGGGGTACGGGCTCTGAAGTGGTTGGACATTGTGAGTGACAATTTCCTGGGATCACAGGGCAAAGCAGTAAACACAGCAGAATCTAGAGTCAGTATAGAGCTACGATGAGGGTCCTCGGCGTACATCTGTGCCACTCCATGGAAGTGAAACTGAGGCATCCAGGGAAAAGCGCTCACTTGTGGTTACCATGCCCTTGTCTCTCAGTGATCTTAAACCTAGAGTAAACACTAGTTAGATCATCAGAGCCCTGAAACACAGGACCCTGCTAGATTTTACGGTCTCTCTGGCCATGGTGCAGGGAACTTACACACAGCCCTGGTTTCACTTTATCTTCAGTTGGAAGAGGCTTGTTTCTTCACTAACCTCCTTCCAGTGTTGAGAGATGTGCATCCAGTGGCATGCTTTTACCAGGACATCTCACTTACTCCCCAGCGGTACCTGCCTCGCGGGGAGCCAGCGTCACTCACCAGGACATCTCACTTACTCCCCAGCGGTACCTGCCTCACGGGGAGCCAGCGTCACTCACCAGGACATCTCACTTACTCCCCAGCGGTACCTGCCTCGCGGGGAGCCAGCGTCACTCACCAGGACATCTCACTTACTCCCCAGCGGTACCTGCCTCGCGGGGAGCCAGCGTCACTCACCAGCTCTTTACTCTTTTCTTCTAGGGTCTTCACATATGAGCAGGATAACTAATTCTTCCTTCAAAATTCCTCACACATTGCTATGAGCTCATTCGTATGTGCAACTGACCAGCTGTCTGGAAGACTCTGCTTCCTTGTGGGATGACCACCTCTGGCTCTTACAGTCTTTCTGTCCCCTCTTCTGCAATGATCCCCAAGCCTTAGGAGGCAGAAGTTTATACTAGGTATCTCACTAAGGCAGGAGCACTCTGCAGCCTCTTGTTCTCTGCACATTGGCCAGTTGAAGGTTGCTATGTTAATCACTATCTGCTGCATGAGGAAAGCTCTCTGGTAAGAGTTGAGAGGTGCATTATATTATGTGTAGAGGTTGCATCGAATATGTGGCACTTAGGGTTAAACCTCTCACAATCCCATGCAAGCTCAAATTAGATAAAATTCCAGCATATACATGGGGGAAGTGGCTAAGAAATCCCAATCCAACCTAAGGAACTTTTGGCAACTGATGGCTGCTGGTAGAGAAGAGACAGTCTCTTACAGGGATTCTTGGTGAGTTGGACCAGGCTCCAGCTGAGGGACATGTGGGGACACAAATAAGACTCTATAGGAAGAATTGTATATATAATGTAATATATTGAATTAGGCAGGGGGCACTGAGGAGGGGTGCAGATGGGAGAGGAGATCTAAATGCCATCAAATTATATTGTATGAAAAATCACAAAAATTTCCATAATGTTTTTAATTAAAAATTTTTAGAAAAAATTCTCACACATATCTCCATGTAAATGTATAATAATTTTCCCTTAATAAGAAAAGGGATCTATTTTCAAAAGCAGAGAAAACTTAGAATTCACAAACAACAACAAAAAGCAGCCACCCACAAGCATCGCAATGTACTTGCTTCCCAGGGAGAACACCTAGTGTTAGGGTAACAACTAAGCAGAAAACAAACGGAGAAACACACAGGATTTTCTCTTAGTAATCTGTGCCCCCGCACGTCCCCACATGAAACTTGGATGCACTCTGGTAACGCATCATCCCATCAGCAGCTTCTGGTGTTCATGGTTGGTCTTGACACACTTCTAAGTCCCCAAACTTATCGTATGGCTATGCTCTGATAAACCCAAAACCTGCACGTCAAAAGATCATAAGTCTCAGCATCCTAAGCTGCCAGAAAGTTCCACTTGGTGGTGTTTGTACTAACTCGCAACATTTACGTTAAAAACGCAAACACCCACAATGTGGAAAGGCTGGTTGTGCCGTGAGGCATGGTAACTAGAAAAGCAGCGCAGAGTTGAGGAACAGCTCCCTGCTCTCCAGGAATGGAGCCAGTGGAAGCTTGTTGTGTCCTCTATCACAGAACTGCTCCTGCTGCTTGCTTGTCCACTAAGTAAAACCTAGTCTCTTAGCCAGATCTTCAGTGCTCTCCCTGCCATGCACCCACACATCCAGTATTATCTCCCAACTCTATGGTGGACTCCTCCCAGTATCAGTCATAGGCACCTCACACTTCCCAGCTAGCTCTGCATCGAGCTGTCTAGGAGCCACTGTGCGCTCCCTAACCCTGTCTTATTTCATCTTCCCCTGGTTCTTCCTTGGCATGCTCTAAGTAAGAGCGCTGCTCTAACCATCAGAACTCACTGTCTTCCAACAGCTATAATCTCTTCCTGTCCTCTTGCAGGACACAACCTCTTGCATCTCAGCATTAGGTCAAGCGTGCTGTTGTCCTTCTCTATATAAGGTGAGCCTTCTCAAGAGTGGGGGCCACCTGCTGTTCATCATTTTGCCCAGCACGCGGGTCAGCACAAACATCTTAATAGATGAAATTTCCTGAGGAAAACCGGATCTCATATTCATTCCTAGCACCTCTCTGTAGTGACTTAGGCTGCATACTTTTCGACCTCTAATGATTTTATTCCTCAATCTGCTCTCTGAGATAAAGACAATGTTCTTCATCATAATTTTATGTCAGAAGAAATTGAGACCCAGAGATGTTCAGGTGATTTAATGTCACATGCCTAAAGAGATGAAACCTATTGGAAATCCAGGTCTAACCTTCCCCTCTTGCATGTCCTTGCATTCTCTTGTCCAACAGGGCACCCATCTTTACCACCTGTGGTGGACACCATGCACGGCAAAGTCCTGGGCAAGTACATCAGCCTAGAAGGCTTCCCACAGCCTGTGGCCGTTTTCCTGGGCGTCCCCTTTGCCAAACCTCCTCTTGGATCCCTGAGGTTTTCTCCACCACAGCCTGCAGAGGCATGGAGCTTCGTGAAGAATGCCACCTCCTACCCTCCCATGTAAGACACTCACTGGGGTGGGTTTGGGCCTCTTCCAATTAAGACATCTATCTCAGAGTGATGCAGGAAGGGGCCAAAGCAATCCTCTGACTGGCTATGTTAACAGTAATTACTGGCAACAGAAGAACACTGTACAACCTCAAAGACAGTTCTAGAACCCACCAAGCTCTTTATTTAGCATATACTCTGTATTTTTTTACTTCAGATATATTTATAATAATAAATGCCAGAAAAAAAGGAAAATGTACCACAGAGTTTCAGTAGTTCAAGAATTTTTTATTTTTATTTACCAGGAGAAAATAAAATACCTTTCTCAAAAGTTTGATACAGGATCTCACACTCTGTAGCCCTGGCTAGGCTGGAACTCACTATGTAGATCAGGTTAGCTTCATTACCTCACTGAGATCTGCCTGCCTCTGCCTCCTGAGTGCTGTGGTAAAAGGTGCAGCCAACCAAGCCTGGCAATTTAGCACTTACTTATAGAACTCCTGTGAGGAACCAGGCATGTTCTAGGTTTTTAGGATCTTCGAAACCATTGGTGGGCGGGGGGGATCTCTGCCTTGATAAACCTTTATCTTAATCGGAGGAAAAAGAAATTGAGAAATATGTTAAAATACAGCAAGTACATAATATACTAGAAAGCTGAGTGGTCAGAAATAACCAATTGATAGGTTAGAAAGATGAAAAGTGAGATGTTCTATTCTCCTGTCTTCAACCTTGGCATCGAGTGGGTGGGTGAGGATGTGTGGGTCAAGGGGGCAATGAGGGTGACTTCCCAAATTCTTGATTCCAGCTGTATCTAGTTACCTAGTCACAAACTGAGTACTAACCAAGGATGTGTCCCTGTTACTTTGGCAACTAAGAGAAAATCCCCAGGAGCCCAGATGATCTCACAGCCACCCCAGAGAAACTAAAACAACTAAAAGTCAGCTCAGACAGTATTTGTCTCTTTTGTGAGGTGCTTCAAGTCCCCAGGCTCCTATTCCTGGCTGTCTTACTACTATTCCACTCTTTTCATATACATACACACACACACACACACACACACGCACACACACATACACATACACATACATTAATAAAATAGTTTTTAAAACTTAAAAGAGGAAAATGGAAACTGCAATTTCAAAATGTATTTCTAAACAATCAGGGGATCAACAAACACACACATACACATACACACACATACACATATACATACACACACACACACACATACACACACACGCACACGTCCCAAACCAGACATCAGTACCAGGAGGCCAGTCCCACGCCCCCAGGTATTATATATATATATATATCATGTAGTAGTTCAGGGGTAGAGCCCTTGCCTAGGATAAGAATAACATTTGCCGCTTTTACGTTCTGATTGTAAATGTAAGCCATGCATATTACATGCATATTACAGGAAAGTTAGACAATACACAGAAGCAAAGGAAAGTCAAAACCATACAACTCAACTGCTCAGAGAGACTTGCTCTCAATATTTGAGATCATGATTTCCAGCCTTTTATCTGTGTATGCCCCTCATTTATACAGAGATCAGGAACACAGAGCATTTGACTGAATGCCTTACACATACCGCCATTATCATTTCATATAGAGCAGTGACGTGCTAATACCCAATGCTTCGTTGGGTATTAAAGTGTTGTTTTATTTACCCAATCTTTTATTTGGGTTCCTTAAAGTACTTTTATTTTATTAACATTATAAACAAAATTATTATTAAATGTTAGTAGCTAAATTATTTCACATAATTATAAATATTTTAGGATTAGTTCTTAAAAGTAGCATTTCCAAGTCAGTGAGTATGAATTTTGGTCACATCTGTCTCCAGAAATATCCAAATTCTGCAAGTTCCCTCCAGGGAAACATGAAAACCTCCATCAGTAGAGTACCAGCCATGCTTTGGATGATTTTTTTGTTAAATACTTTTTGTGTGTGTTAGATAAACAAAACTGGATCATAACAATAATAAACAGGATCTTGGTCTTTACAGTGCATTTTTCTAGATATTAAGTGAAATTGAACTTCTCATTTGACATTTGATTTTATATATTTTTTTCTTTTTTCATTAATTTATTTTTATGGGGCTTTTGGGTACTCTAACATTCTCCCTCTGAAGAGGTAACCATAAAATCTTTTAAGGATTAGATACAAGCTCCCAAATACTTTTGACATTTTTGGCCCTTGGAACAGAGTATGTTGCTAACATTCTGACTTGTAGCCAAGACACTGGCTACGTTTCTTTGGGGTCTTTTTATCCTAACTGCCTAGCCAGTTCCTACCTCCTATTCTTATCTCTCCATCCTCTGAAGGGGTTACCCAAATTGCCAATAGGGAATAGGGATGCCGACCACTCTGACTTCTTCCATGCTGAACCAGGGACTCAGGGTGAGGCAATTGGAGTACCCTTCAGTGGGTCTATCTAAAAGACTCCCAAATTACATAACTCTTATCTGTAGGGAGAAAAGAAGGTTCTTGGCTGGTGAACAGGGGATGTGAAGAAGTAAAGGCAAGAGTAGTTAGCATTCCAAGTTCTAGACAGGAACATTAACTCTTAACTAGAAAAAAGTCAGAACAGGGCAATTTTCAGTCGTTCATATGAGAGTCCATTGGAATTTCTTGACAAGGGCTTCCAAAAGCATCCCTCTATTGGGTTCCTCCTCATTTTTCTTTTGTCTCCCAAGGCTGGACTCTAGAGTGATGGATTCAGGATTTGCTTTCAGGTGTTTCTGAGATGTATGTATGACCTGAGAGTATGCACACTGGAAAGCCTTTACCCAACATGGATCATGCCTTCTCTTCCTAGCTTTCCACAGATTGTATGCTTTAACCCTCCCCAAATCCAGGAGGCCATGTCTGATTAGGGTCAAATAACATACAGGTGGCTGGGAAGAGTGGCTGGATACTCCAGTAAGGGTCCAGTGACACTGCTTGGCCTTCCTTTAATGAATGAGCACAACCATCAACAGGCCCAATTATGACTATGTTTAGCGATCAGGCTCAGCTGAAGTCGTGATGATGGCAGTTATTTCATGCAAAAGGGACTGCTGTATAGCATCATCTTATCTGTCTTTTATCTCGTTTGTCCAATTTACAAAATCTTTTCCTCCAACTATGTCATGTAAGTTGTCTTTTTTTTGAGTGTGTGTTACTTTACTTCACTTAGTATAATATTTTCTAACTCCATCCTTTTACCACATATTTCATGATTTCATCTTTCTTTGATTAGAACTGAGTAGAACTCCATTGTGTAAATGTACCACATTTTCATTATTCACTCCTCAGTTGAAGGACATTTAAATTTCTTCTATCTCTTAGCTACTGTGAAAAGGGCAGCAAAAAACATGGATGTACAAGTGTCTCTACAATAGGATGAGTCTTTTGGGTATATGCCAAAGAGTGGTCATACGGTAGGTTCATTTTTAGTTTTTTAAGACTTCTCCACAGTTTTTCCACAGAGGTTGCATGAGTTTGCAATCTCAGCAGCAGTGAATGAGCATTCCCCTTTCTCCAGATCCTCACCAGCATTTGGTATCATTTGTTCTTTTGATCCTAGCCAGTCTGAATAGGGTAAGGTGATACCTTAGGGTGGTTTTAATTTGCATTTCCCTAACTACTAACAATGTTGAACATTTTTTGAGATGTTTCTTAGCCATCTTTATTTCTTCCTTTGAGAACTCTCTGTTTAGATATTTAACACA